GGCGCGGCTTTGTGGCGGCTGCGACCGCGGAGGCCCGGTGCAGCCCCGTCGGCTGCGCTCTCTCTGCAGAAAAGGATTTTTACTCCCCCTGCCCATCACTTGGATCTTGTCTGGGGAGGGACGGATTTTTGCTGGAAGCCCCGGGCCTGCCGCGCTCCGCCGCCGGGAAGGATTCGAGGCTGGGCTCCGATCGAGGCGGAGGCTGCAGGGCCCGCGGGGCGCACCCCGCCCCGCGCACGCTGGCCGGAGCCCTGGCGGCGCAGCCCCGGGGGGCTCCCTGAACCCGCGGGAGGCAGTGGTGAGTTTGCCAGCGTCGCTGCTCGGCTCCCTTCCCAGGGGCGGGGCGGGGATCGCGGCAGGTGGGTGCCCAGGCCCCCGGACCGAGGGGGTGCTGGGCGTCTGCCTGGAGGGTGGGTGGGAGCTGGAGCGGGGAGGTGGCGGCTCCTCGGGGACCCCGCGCGACATGTCTGGGCTGCGCTCACCGCCGCTTCCGCCACCCCGAAGGTCCCCCACCCCAGGCCCTTCCCCAGAGGAGCGGGAGGTGGGATCTGCTGGACGTAGCCCCCCACGCCCTAAGGCTTGTGCTTGGAAATTAAGGGAGTGGTTGGAAAACCAGCCACCCCGCCCCCACCCCGGAAAGCCCGTTCGGGAAACCGACTCTTTGCATGACCCCGATATCTGCGCGTTGGGGCGAGAAGGCCGCCCGCGCCCCAGCCGCGCCCGCATCTCCACGTGCGTCCCGGATCAAGCTGGCACCGCGGCTGGGTCGCGCGCGTCTCGGGGGACCGGGCCCCGGAGGCTCGGAAGGAGCGGGAAAGATGTCCCCAGAGAGTTCCTGCCGTCCCCCAAATAAAGTTAGGGGCCCCCCTCCCTGAAGGAGCAGGGGGTGCTGGCACGTTGCCTTTAGCCTTAATGGACAGGAATGAAATAAGTAAAAGCTGGGTTACGGGGTGCGGATCAGGCCGTCTGGGCCCGAGACACCAAGTTAGAGGAAGAAAAAGTTAGAAAAATAAAGGAAAACATAAAAGGCTTTTTGATTTGGAGATTGGGGGAGTGGCATTTCTGATTTCTCCTGCTTCCAACCCGTCGAAGGGAGCGCTGGAATGTGCCGCTCGGATCCTCTGAGGACACATCCATATTTATAATTTATTTTTAGGAGAAGTTGTGAAAAGGGGAGGGGGTTAAAATGGGGAGAAAAGGTGTGCGCGAGAGAGCGGCCTTCCTGGAGCCTGCGGCTAATTGGACTTGTTAGGGTGGGAATAAAGTCTTCCAATCTGGACGCGAGCAAATTGGACTTTAATGAGTGACAATTAAGGGCATAAATAACTAAACTTTATTTAGCTGGAGGTGGAACCTTAGAGGCGCCTCAGACTCTCGATTGATGCTTTGCTGAGAACTTTGGGGGAACCCCTGGGATTTTCTGGGTTTTGCGCCGAAGCGTTAGCGACGAGCAAGTGGTGACTGCTCTCAGGTGGAGGTGACATTCCCACGGGATGGACAAATGCTCCCCCCCTTTCTCCCATGGCCAGCCCCTCGCTTTTTTGGAGAGGAACAGCCTTCCTGAGGGAAAAGCCGGTAACGGTTCCTTTAAAGATCTAGGATTCTCCCAAATCCTGCCTCCTAGGCAGCTCGCTCCGGAGCGGCGCGGGGAGCTGTGAAGGGGATTCAAGTGTGCGGAGGGAGGCTCCGGATGCTGTGGGCCCAGAATCGGGGTTTTGAGGGCGAGATGAGTTTATGTTTTATCCAACTGGCCCACAAAGTCCCGCTTTTGGGGTCATTCTCGACAGCGAGGGACTCAGGCCCCGGCAGCCCCTGGACAGAGAGTGGAGAGCGACTCCCCAGCATGCTCCTCTGAAATCGGCTGGGGAGTGGGAGGCTTGCGGCTTGGGACAAGATGAAGGCCAGGGTGAGTGAGGGTGGGATGCTCTTAACGCGTGCGTTCTCCGTGTTCTGGACCTGCGGTGATCTCGAGGGGCCTCTCCAGGGCCTCTCCTGGAGAGGCTGAAGAGTTTCCCGGAGGTGAAAGTATAGCTCCCCACCGCTCCTCTCCCCAGGACTTAATAAAATGTAGTAGTGGACAGCATTGGCAGGCTGTATCAAAGAGTTTGAAATCACCCCCCCCACCCCGCAAAAAAAGGACCACTAACACGAGAAACCCTAAAGACATCAGGTTTCTCTTTATATTTGTCAAGGGAGCAGCAGCCCGCTGCTTGCTTCCACCTGGAATTGCAGTATTTCTTTGCAATTCCTTGCAATCTCGACATTGAAGGCATTTTATAAAAAAATCTCGGCAATATTTTCAAGGGAGCCTCTAAGGCAAGGGTGATGTGGTACAGAAGCTCCCCTCAGGCTTTTAACCTTACTAAGTTGTATTAATTCATATGTGTCCGTGTATCCAGCGCCACATCCCTAATTATTCCCAAATCCGCATTTAAATTAAGTGCTCACAGCAGGGAATAAAACCCCCACCCCCCCTAGCTGTACCTGAAAAACTTTTGAACACAGAGTTCTTGATGAACGATATAGTGATTTGATAGACGTGGCACGTGGACACACAGATGACATTTGTGCTGCCTTGACAGAAAGTTCTTTACTTTTCAGAGCTCTTTGGCTTTATTATGGAACACGGTGAAACAGCACAATTTCCAGGAGTCCGCAATTCCAGCGTGACTTTTCCAGGGAACTTGTCACATTGTGAATTTGTGTTTGTGCTTTGCTGAATTGCCACCCGGAGCTGTCAGATCCTATTTGCCTTGCTAAATAAGGATATCTCATTAAATTAACCTTTAATGATACTTCTACAAATAGGGTGTTTTATGTGAATTAATGAGGCTGGAACACTGAATGTTACACCGAGATACTGAGCTATAATCGAAGGGATGAAACTGAATGTTAAACTTACTGAATTGTTCAGTGTGGAAAATTGGACAGAATTTAGTTCTAAATGTGAAACAATTTCTGCTCCACCGTGAGCATCCCCCAGGCATAGGCACTGCTTACATTTGGCCCTCTGAACCCATGCATGCAGTGATGACTACATGGAGCAAACCTTTCCCTCTCCAAGTCTACAAGCAGGCTAAGTAGTAGGGTGAAGAGATTATAAATCACACTCAGCAGGGAGAGGTGCCGTTGTTAATTCAGCAAATAACCACAACTTCTTTCTATGTTCTTACCCCCTCCTGCTCCCCAACCAACAAGTAGAAAAAGAAATTTTGAGGTGGAGCTGTTCAATCCACCCACTCTGGCTTTTCTCCTTTTGCTTCTGTGTGTGAAATTTCATTAAGCCGTTGCTATCCTCTCCCCAGGAGGTGTGGATTTAGGCAAAAAAGGAAAAAGCATAGCAACTTTGAATTTAGTTCTTAGCAGTGTATAACTCATAAAAATTAATAGAAAAGAATAAAGTGTGGTTGGAGGTAAAATAGTCAGAAGTGCAATGAAAATGATACTTTGTTCAAAATCCAACTGCATTTGTGACTCAAACTCATGAAAGCTGGAAAAATCCCCACAAGGGAATTCCCTGTATGTCATGGTCGCAGCATTCCAACCCTATCATTAAGAAAAGAAAAAAAGATTCTTACCAGATAAACTGAGAGCTCCCTAAGGTGCACCTCCCACTCCTCTACTTTGGGCTATAAAGTAAATACCACTATTTTAGGCATGAGGATAAAAATTAGTCTGGTGAAAAGTGAAGGCGAACTCCGTACTTGAGAGTCTCTTGCCAGAATGTAAGTACACATACAAACAAAATAAAACATTGTTGATTCGTGTTCCTTTAAGATAGAATTTTCTTTCTTGCCTCCTTTTCTGAGTGCAGTCCCGCTGAGTCCAAGTCTTTTAGATTTGGGCTGAGGTGAAAATAAACTTTAAACAACAACCCTGACACCCACAAACATGATGTAAACAACTGTAGACTTTTCAGGCCTCAGAGGCTTGACGCTTTTAGGGAGAGGTGCCCGTTAAAGAAACAGTGTCTGAGGAGCAGATCCTGGGGCTCCTCCATCACCCTACACTAGGCTGAGCCCTCAGCTCCCTTCATGAGCTCTTTGCAAAGTAGCCAGCATTCAGAAGCTGCCTTCCCAGTGGGCCCAGGTGCGGGGAACATAGGCAAATATTTACAAAACTTTAAAATAAAGGCTCTGGTTTTACCTTGTCTTCCTTCTAGAAAACACCTAAGTTTACAAAATGTAAACTTTTTTCCCTGAGCGGTTGCACCCTAGAAAATGCAGAGATCTTGGTGTCACAAGAAAGCCATATGAAAATGCTCTGGCAAGAGCAGTGTGTGTGTGTGTGGCCCATTTAAGCTTTTCTTGAAGATTTGTCTGGGCGGGGAGAGTAGGCAGTGGCTGGCTTGAGCCTGAAGTTAGTTGAACCTTATGGTGTGAAAATTTTCTCAGAGAGGAGCAGCAGACTCAACTGTCCTGCTGGAATCAGACATGAAATCAGTGCCCGGGCCTCTGTTGTCTGTGCCTAGGACAGCTTGGACTGATGCCAGCCGAGGCCTGGACAGAACCGAACGTAGCCGCTGCTGGAGCCCAAGCATGCTCCAAACTGGTGCCTGGAGGTCTCTGTTCCTGGGACCCAGGCAGCAGCAGTGTAGTCAGAGGTTGGGTGTATGGCTCCCAGTGTACCTTCCCCAGAAATTCTGCAGGGTTCAGTAGCTTGTGGATGCTGGGGCCCCAGGGGCAGTGCCACCCTTTGCTCAGTGAATCGCTTCCTCGCAGGCCTGGCCCTGATGTCTGGAGACTCTGCCAAAGCTTTGGGACCAGGCTCAGAGGTAAACAGGTGACACTGTCCCTGCTGCACAGGCGCAGAGCAAATCCAGCCTGTGTAAGCGCATGGTGACTGCAAAAGACTCTACCGCAGTACAAGCAACACGCAGCCTCTCTGCTGTGGAGCACTGCTGGGCCACGGTGCATTTGTTTTTGCTGGTCTCTTCTTCAGGTGTGAGGGTGCCCCCCACCATTCCAACATCCCAATAGACCAGGAGGGAAACCAAGACGTGGGAAGGAAGTGTTGTAAGACTATCCGAGGACTGGAGGTGTGGGGCGCATAGGCAGAAAAAGGGCCAGTATTCGAGGTAGCTGGGGGGTCTCCAGGTGAGGGCTAAGTAGGCATGCTGGGCACAAGCCTGCAGGGGAGAGGGGTGCAGCCGGCTGAGCCTTGGCATCGCTGTGCCAGCTCTGAGAATTTGGGCCCAGGCCCAAGTCAGCCAAACTCTGGGACTCCCATTTGGCCCAGTAACTGGACTCCAAGCCACCAAAGGCCTTGTCGGTTTCTGATTGTCTTGGGATGGCATTCAAGGGCCCTGATGACATGCTCTTGGGCCCTCCCATATTTAGCTGCAGGTTCACCCGGAGAATATTTTAGGTGCTGCTTGAAAGGGGAGCTCTGAGCCCTGCTGCCAACTGTCACATGGCAGGGGAGGAATCGCTTCCTTGCAGGCCTGGCCCTGATGTCTGGAGACTCTGCCAAAGCTTTGGGACCATGCACTGGGTGCCAGGGAGCCTGCAGCCATCTAGGGAGCCAGCTCTGGGCTGGGAATGTGTTGGGAAGGCTTTTCGCCCTGTTTTCGTTCAGCAGCGATAAGGCCACTTCCATTCACAGAACTCACAGAGGCTGTTTTCAGCCCTTCTCTTCTGCAAGATGGCCCAGTGTGATATGCCAGGCTGCTGAGTGTGCAGCCTCCTCCTCAGGTGTCAGCCGTGGTGCCAGCGTTAACCCTTCTAAGGCCCTTGGGTGCAGGCTGGCATGGGAACAGCTTTCTGCATGGACTGCCAAGGTCCTATACGCTTTGATCCCTAAATCCTCACACCTCAGCGGCAGACCCAAGAGGGCATCTGCACCTGAGCAGTGGCATCACCCCACTGGTGATACCTGCTTTACTCAGCTGTGCTACTCAAGCCTCCATCTGCTGGTCATCCAGCTGTGGAAGCAACTGCTTCCCTCCCAGATGTTTTCATCTGGGTCTCAAAGTTGATGGATGGGCTGTCCCCCTAAGGCAGAGGAGGAGGCATCAGTGTGTGGGCTTTGGCTCTGATATCAGTGAGAGCTGGAATAACCATTTGGGGTTTGGAGCAAATGTCGCAGACTCCTAGGGGTCACCTGGCTTTCGGGAATCATCTGTGTGACCATTTCTGGACCCTGCACTGGGGTCCCAGAGGGAGGGGGTGACGGCTTGGAGACATATTTACCCCACTATTTTGAGGATAGTGAGGGTCCTTTCAGGAGCCTGTGTGAGCTGTTACGCACCCTGAAAGCGTCCACTTGTTAAAGTTTGCTCTAACTTTGTATGTTTTTTCCTTTTTAGTTTGGCTCTTGGCGCTCCAAGAGCCCCCACTTCCTACCAGCTGGTTACCGCAGGGAAAATGAGGGACTTTTGGGGGCAGATGTGTTTCCGTTCCACTATCATAATGCCCCTAAAAATCCTTATTGCTCTTGCAGTATTCCTCGGGGTCCCTGGGCCAGGAAGACAGCGGCTCTGAGCTCCTCCAGCAGCGCACAGAGGAGGCAGGGGGTCCCCTCGCATTCCTCCTGCAGGCCCTCTGGTTCCCCTGGCGGATCTGTCCTTACTGCACCGTGCTTACAACCCGTCAGTCTCCCCCCACCCCCAAATTAAAGGATGCCACCTACAAACATGAATGCTGGTTACCAAACTTGCCTTTTGCCCTCAAGGGGCAGAATGGTGGAGCTCAGCCTGGGAAAAGGCTGGCTGTGGCCACATCAGCATTTGCTTCTGGGGTGTAGGGAAGGTGGGGAAGGGCAGAGGAAACCAGAGAGACCTGTTTGGTGAGGGCTGGTCCTTCCTGCTGGGCCTCTGGGATCTTCACCTTGGCAGGGGGCCCTTGGCAATCATGGCCCACCTGCCAGCTCCTGAGACAGGACATGTCCGCCTCTGCCTCGGTTTCCCCATCTGCCAAAGGAGAGCTAACACTCCTTGCTCTATCCTCCAAGAGTTCTTGGACATATCCAGTGTGGGCTCAAATGATGTACAACTCAGCAGGTACTTTGCATATAAGTAATGCATTAATTAACACGAAACTTACACACAGAAGCAACTGAGACAGGAGTGGGAACCACAGTCCAGCAGGACACCTGAGTTTCTGGAAGCAGCCATGTTTACAATCCAGCCCATAGTCTGTGATTCTTACTGTGTGATGCCAGGGCGTGACTCCACCTCTCTGGACCTCCAGTGCCTCATACATGACCCACAGCTTGGACTAGAAGTTTCCCAAATCTCTCATGCACATCTGCTCTATGACTTTAAAAGGTATCTGGCTGAAGACAGAAATTACTGAAATAGGTGATTCTTCCCATGGCTAACTTCTGTTTATGGCAATGTGTTGGTGGGGATAGGACTCCTTTTTCTCTCTGATTTATGTAGGTAAGAATCCAGTCAATTTCTTGAAAGAAAAGTACACAGCAAATTGAGTACAGATGGCCTGAGCATGGGACAGAAATGAAGACTACAGTTTGCAGTTTCATAGGCCTGCTTTTGGAAAGGATTCATGTGTCTCTTTTTTTTTTCCCCCATAATTTTATTGATAAACAAATGGCAATGAGACAGTTTCAAATCAAATTGGTAGGACAGTTTCAATAATTAACACATTGCATATATTCTTCCTATCATGTTTCTCTTAGGGATTTTCTGGACCCCTAGTTGATGGCGGGGGTGGGGGGGAGTAAGTTGCCAATTAAACCCATGCAGGGTTCCAGCTGAACCAAACTTGGATGTCCTGTTGGCCCTGGGTCCGAACACCGGAGCCCTGCCTACGTCCATCCACGCATAGATCCAATTTATCTCCATTCTGGGATCCCAGTGACCCAGCCAGCTCTGTCCCTGATGGGTTACTTTGAAGCCTCAGTTTGCCCAGTGAAATGGGAAGAAGAGCTGGCCTGGAGCAGGCCAGAGTGAAATCAGAGGGTTAGGGCAGAGTTCAGGAACAGGGCACCAGCTCAGAGGGCAGCAGGTGCTAGGGGCCCTGCAGCAGGTAGGGCAGGGCAGGGAGCACCCTTGGTCTCAAGGGGCACTTGTCCAGCGGGCTGCACAGTGCTGTGCTTGGGTGGCAGCTTCAGTGGGCACCTAGATCCTGCCAGCAGGGGCAACTTGATTTTCACTTTCTGCTGTGTCATGGGGTGGGGTTGGCAGGGGGGCCTTGCTGGACAGCTGGGGCGGGTACAGGGCCAGTGGACAGCTGCGGGCCCAGCTGCCAGAGCCCCACCCCTGCCCTGTAGCCTGCCAGGGTGGGAACTGGGCCCTAGGGCACCTTTTTTTAATCACCCACTGCAAGCACAGTGGGGGAACCCCAACTGAGGAAAGGTAGAAGCTGGCTGGCTGGTTCCTGGAGCTGGAGGGGACACCCCCAAAACAAAATTTCCAGCTTAGGTTTGAAATCTAAACAATTGAGTCTTGACTCTGGATCAGGTGTCCTGGCTGGCTACGAGCATCGTGCTTGCTTTTGTTGGACAGATGTATGTGGAGGGCCTACTGTGTGCTGAGCACTGAGAGTGCTGGAAGCTGGAGGCACAGTGGGGAGGGCATTGTAGCCTCTCCCAGGGGTCTCACTGGAGTCAGGGAGGAGACAAAAGAGCAAACAAAGGGATGAACAATCCCTTGTGAGGGTGAAAATTCCATGCTGACTGCTGAGTTCAGGACTGGGGTCACAGTGTCGCGGGGCAGTGAGCAGGCTAGGGCACTGATCCGGGCACCCAATCCTTTGTTTAAATCTAGACTCTTCCATGGACTGGCTATGCAACGCCTGGTAGACGGCTTCTCTTCTTGCCTCAATTTCCTCGCCTATGTGCACTAGAACAACAGGGTACACACAGAGCTTCAATGAGAATAAAATGAACAGGCATCTATGAAGAGCTAAGGACAGTGCCCAGCGGTGCTGTGTGTCTTATCTTAGCTGCTCTATAAGAACAATAAAACAGCAGCTATTATTATAAGGTGACCTGCACCCATCCGAGCAAGCTGAGAGCTTCAGGAATATGGCTGAGCTTGTCCCCTCTGCCCCCGCCAAGCACCATAGTCACAACCAACTCTCTGGTGTCCTTACTGATGTCGGAATGGGGACACTGAAGCTCATTCCTCTGAAGAGCCGCGTTGGAGAGACAAGAAGTTTGCACCCAGGTTCAGGACCACTTTTCAAGTAAGGAGTCCACACGTGTTTAAAGCTGCGTACCCGTCCTCCTGAATGTCTTAATTCCTTGGAACAAAGGGGTCTCACAGTTCAATCCTGACTTGATGTTACTTGCTCTGAAGTTGTTACTCTCAACTATTGCCATCAGTAGCCTACATGGCTGGGTGCAGATTTTCCAGTTTATCAACATATGAGACATGATCGAAAAATAAGAAGATGGGGGCCGGGGAGATGGCTCAGTAGAATAAGCGCTTGCCTGGCAAGCGCAAGGGCCTGAGTTCAATCCCCGGTTCTGCCAAAAAAAAAAAAAAAAAGAAGAAGAAGAAGAAGAAGATTATCTCATTTAAAAAATGTTTATAGCGTTACTGTGAAAGTCACACTGGCACACTGTGATGTTCTTCTGAACTGCCTTTTCATGGGAAGGCACACAGCAGCAGCAGCAGCTGCAGCATTCATTGTATTTTTTATCACTTCTCACAAAGACACTCATGAAAGAGGACTTACAGAACTGCTTCAGAAAGTAGCAAGAACAGTGGAGTAATATGGACAGGGAGTTTTTTGATGGGGACTCATGCATTGGGTCTTTAATGGAATGCATTTTTAAACAACATAAACATTCAAGCTGGGCGTGGCGACTTGAGTGCCTGTAATCCCAGCACTCAGGAGGCTGAGGCAGGAGGACTGCCAAAAATGTGAGGCCAGCCTTGGGCCACGCAGTTCAAGGCCAGCCTATACTACAAAGCAAGACCCAGTCTCCAAAAACAAAAACAAAATTAAAACATTCACTGTATATTTTGGTCAGACCTCACAGCACTGTGTGGTGGAACTGAAATTCTCAAGAGAATATGAAGACTTATCATAGGTTAGATTACCCAAATGCTTATTTGTCCATCTGTCATCCCCAGGAGAAGGGCGCCACGGGTAGTGGCCAAGGGTAGAGGCCTTGGCTCCTTCCTGCTAAACCTTTAGCTCTTGGCATGTGCTAGGTGCTCAGTTAATAGCTGTGAACCGAAGCCAGTGACTGCAGGCTCCTACTTCATGACCCTTCCAGGGAAACAGGTGGCTGGTGTGGTCCGTCCTGGCCACCCCTGCTGGCCTCCAGAGAGCCCCAGGTGTGGAGAGTCAGTGTCTCTTGGGATCTTCACCTTGCTCCAAGCCTGCCCTGTATCTCACAGCTTACTCTTGAACAGCTTCTACCCTAGAGTTCAAAGACAGCGCTCAGACTTCAAGTCACACAGCCCTGGACTTCAGAGGCCGAGTGTAGCCGGAAGAATCCTCAGGTTCTCGTTCCGAGCAGGCCCAGCTGCCAGCTGGAGGTCAGAGGTCGCGGTTCCTGGGAGTGTAAAATGAGATTGTTTTCCCTCTGAATGTTAAATTCATCTACACCCTCAAAAATACCCAAAGTATAAATATTACTAAAAGCAAAGAGTTATTTCAAAAGCATTTCAGATATTTATAACAATAATAAACACTTATATTGGTTCTTCACCAGTCTCTTCAAAAGCATGAGCCATCCTTTTACATGACAATCCATGTAATAGGTATCATCTTCATTTTTTCCAATCAAATTTTATTGGCCACTTTCTAAGTAACATCATACCCACCAACATACACTTCGTCTGTACTAGCCCCTTGCGAAGTGTGTGATGTCATTTCAGCTGCTCAGGCCACATGCAGGAGTGGTACTGTGACTGGCCCCAGCTCTCTGGTGAGAAAACAGGCTTGGTGAGATGGCCTTTTTAGTCCAAGGTCGCATACCTAGCATGCGACAAGCTGGGGTTCCAGCCTGGCTAAGCCGGAAAGTGACTCTGAGGTTCCGCAGGCTACTAAGTCTCTGTCACAGCTGCTTAAGTCTGCAGCTGTACCTCAACAGTAGCCACAAACGATACATAAATAGATGACGATGGCTCGGTGTTACAATAAAACTTTATCTGTCAAAACAGGAAGTGGCCCAAATTGGGCTTATGAGCCATTCCAAACCAAAAGGCTGCCTTCCACACAAACTTGACCCCCACCTGTGGGGTGACTCAGTGGCCTGTCGGAGCAGATGGCTGCTGGGTCTGAAAAAGGTAAGTTGGCTCTGCCTTCTCCGCGGAAATTCTGAAATTCTGGGAACTTATCCTGTTAGTGACTACCCTCATAACGCACCTGGGAGGTTTTAAATTATAATTTCAATAGTTGTCAGTTGAGGCGCGCGCTTGTGTGTGTGTGTGTGTGTGTGTGTGTGTGTGTGTGTGTGTGTGTAGAAGAAAGAGGGAGAATTTCTCTAGATGGTAGAAGGCTGGATGGAGCACAGCAATAGAGTGGGAGAAGAGGGTATGATGTTTTAAAATAGCTTTACTGAGATATCATTTCCTTAACATGCAATTCATTTTTTTAAGTACTGAGGATTGAACCTTCACACTGACCTACTTCCCCTCCCTTTTACTTTGTTTGTTTAAACAGGGTTTCGCTGCGTCACTAAGTGGCTCAGTCGGGGCTTGAACTTGTGATCCTCCTGTGTCAGCCTCCCATAGCGTCAGGATCACAGGTGTGTGCCACTCACCTCTAATGGGCACAGTTCAGGGGCTTGGAGTATGGTCATAGAGTTGTACAGCCAACATTAGTGAATTTTAGAATATTTTTATCACCATTAGTGGTCATCCTGCCTTCCCTACCCCAGTCCTCCATCACCACAACCCTGAGTGTGGTGGACCGACAACTGGTGATCAACTTGCAACACCCAGCTGAACTGAACCAGTGTGGTGCGGGGTGTGGGGGCCACCTGAGGACTGTTGCCAACAGAATACAAATGAGAACTGCAGAGGAAAAGCGAAGCTATGGAGAGCTGTTGGTTCTGGTGGAGCTTGTCATGCTGGCTCTCCTGATATGAAGGCGGCTATTACCATCGGAGGAGCTTGGGACCTCGTTGTTGCTAGCAATGGCTGTGGCTCACTTTAGGGGACCTCTGGTCCTTACTTTGAGCATCATTTCCTGGTGCCTGAGGGGAAGATGGTGCACTACTCAGCCTCCTGGAGAAGCTTGTTGCTCTCTTTCCTTTTTTTTTTTTAATTTATTTAATTTATTTGTGTGTGTGTGTGTGGCCAGCTCAGCCCACCAGGGGGCGGGGCTGACTGGCATGTGGTGCTGGGGGATTGAACCGCGGTCCCTGTGCTTTGCTAAGCTTGTTCTAAGTAGGTGCTTTAGACCACTGAGCCATCTCACCAGCCCCTCTCTTTTCTGATACACTTGGCTGTTCTCATCTTCTGAGGAGCTGGGGAGCTCATTCTCACTGAAGACGGCTGTGGTACTTTGCTGGAGAGCTCTGGTCTTTATTTCAAGTGTTGCTTCCTGACTCCAGCGCAGATCCCTCGGCCTGCTGGCACAGATCCTTCATCTGCTGGCATAGGCTTTCTGGCTTCCACCACTGACCTTGGGGCCTTCCCAATGCAAATCCATGAAATGGAAATGCACGAGACATTGTCGTGGGCTCTTGGCCTTCATTTGGACTTGTGGGGGGCACTGTGATGGGCTCTAGGTCTTCAGCTGGATTTAGGCAGGATTACCATAGGACCCAGGCCCTCAGGGGGATTCTTTTGGTCTTTAGTGTGTGGACAGATTTCCTGCACTCTGTGTATGACTCTTTGAGTGACTATTATAAAATATTCCTATAAATTATGTGTCCTGTATTGTTTCCCTTGCAAACCCTGACCACAACACTGAGCAACCACTAATCTGAGTTGTCTCCACTCTGGGGCAATTACAAATAATGCAGCTATGATGAATTTTTGTTTGTTTGTTTTTAAATTTTTTCCATTTATGTATTTGGTATAGTGTCTCACTAGGCAGCTCAGACTCATAGTGACCCTCCTGTTTTCAGCCTCCCCAGTGCTGGGATTATAGGTGTGTGCCATCATGCCCAGACTCGCAGGCTCAGAGCACCCCAGGGGCAGGGCCGCACAGCATGTGGGACTGGGTATTGAACCCTGGTCCCTGCACTTACCGAAGCAGGCACTTAGTCCACTGAGCTATCTTGCCAGCCCGCAGCTATGTTGATGAATGTTTTTGTATGGTAATCCATTTCTCTCAGGCACATAGCTCAGAGACATGCTGAGGACATGCTGAGGCACATAGGAACTCCAGAGTTAGCATCTGGTGGAAGCATCTCTTCCAACTCTGTATTGGGACAATTTCCCTCCATACTTGAAAATAGAGAAACTTCTGTAATGTATATCGGGCACCCATTGTCAGATATGACAATGATTGGTTTTTTGCTTCTCTCATTCTTTCTTCATTCTATCCTCTCTCTTTGTCCTCCACTGAGGTGTTTTTTTTTTTTTTTTTTTTTTTTTTTTTTTGAAATTTAAGAATTCTCTATAAAGAAATCCTATTATATATGATAAACACTTTTTTTTGTATGTGGAACCAGGGATTGAACTTAGATCCTTGTGCTTGCCAGGCAAGCGCTTATTCTACTGAGCTATCTCTCTGGCCCTCCACTGAGTATCTTAAGCCAACTCAGGCACTGCATTTCATGTTGTCTCAGCTGAGAGGCTAACATTTTCTTTATCCCAAACTTTCAGTTGGAGTAGACTATACACACATTCTTGTGTGAATGGAATTTGGGGAGAATGTAGGAGTTGGGCAGACTCCAGAGCAGGTCATTGTGGGGGTCGGGGGGGAGGCATAGCCCCTGCATGAGGCAGGACCAGCTACATAATTTGTAGGATCTCAGTGAAATGAATATGTGGAGCTCTTGGTTAAAAATTAAGAAGCTCAAGATGAGCTGGGGAGATAGCTCAGTGGTCCTGGTGAGCTCAAAGACCCAGGTTCAGTCCCCAGTACCACATGCCACGCTGGCCCAGGAGCCCCAGACAAGCTGAGCTGGTCACTGAAACATGATGTGGTGGCACAGGCATGTAATCCCAGTGCTGGGGAAGCTGAGACAGGAGGATCATCATGAGTCCAAGCTGTGTAGTGAGACCCTGTAGCAAATAAATAAAAGATTAAAAAAGAAATTTAAGATGGCAGACCATAAAACCAGGCATGTACCTTGTGTAGCTGTATAGGCTCTCTGTGCTTGGGACCAGTTTTGTCCTGCAGCCAGCAAAAAGGTTCCCAAGCAGGACTGATTCAGCAGATGCAGGAATTTAGAACTTTGGGTGCTGAGAGAAAAAAAAAAAATGCTTCTCAGTCCCAGTCCCTGGAAAAATTCCAAGGAAAGTTGGGGA